TTGCTGAGAGAAAATCGCGAACTACTACAATATAAGAAGAATTACTGCAAAACAGAGGAAAAAGCTTAATCACATAGCGAAAATCACTCTACGGGATGGCAGTTGTAATAAATCCTCTTAGCGCGACTCGAAAGGAACGCGATTTACGGTACTTAAAAATATTTCCCCGTTTCATGTGAATTAGTTGGTTTCTTGTGCTTTCTTAATGCTCCATATTTCTCTGAATATTCCGCCAAGTTTTTGTACATTTATAATTCTTATACATGAAGAAGACCATAATTTGTGAAATGTTTGTTAAAAATGATACTGCCCACTGATTATTATGTAGGCTATTCGACAACACCCAAAAATTTTCTGATAATTTATACACATCATGAGTTTCACCTTTGGTAGGATCGTAAAAAAGACTGATCTGTCGTTCTATAAATACTAGCTTCGTATTTTTATTTTATACAACCAAATAAACGCGCTACATACTCCAAGTGTCAATCGTAATCTTCTCTTTGCCGCTTCAGCGAGCTAACACAATGTTCCAAGTTAGCAAAATCACTTCAGAATCGCCGTTTTTTAAGTTATCAAACTTAGGTACTGAGGTTAAAACGTAATTTTCTCTTCGCTGCTGCAGAGCACTAAGAAGGTCTCTTCCGAATACTAAGCACAGCAATCTTTGTCTCAAACGAAAGCACGAAGCTGATATCATATTTCTCTTATTCGGCTATCGTTTTGACCCCTTTCGTTCTTCTCAGAGTCGAATGATATGCGAATCGATGCTCCACAGTATTTCGTCCTCATTGTGATATTCACGCTCGTTTTATTAGAGTCGGATTATTTTTGGAAGAGCGTCATTCAGATGAGAACCTCACCCGGAAGTAGTTCTCTCAAATGATACAATTACTAATGATTATGACAGTTCACTAATAATATATTGCTTTTCAGCGTAGCAGAAGCACTACAGAGTACGGTTTTTATGTGAGTGATGCTCTTTGAAGGAAGTCCGATTATAGGAAGCGAAGGCGAGTCACCACAACGAGAATGAACAACTGCTGAGCATCGGCTCGCATTCATCGGCTCTGAACCGGACGAAACGCTTTAAGATGTTAGGCGAATAAAAAAAATTTATTTGTTAGCGTTGTGTTTTTTCCTTAATAAGCAAGGATTATGTCATTGATGTGTAGTGTTGTAGCGAAGGAAAAGTCGGTTTTCAGTCTATTGAGCATAGTGAAGCATGAGTGAATACGTAGACGAACTTTGAACCAGGAACTCCGTTGAAATTGCACGGAACACAGAGGCATAATGGTGGTGATCTTGAATTAAAAGTTACCATTCTGGCACATGAACAAAGAAACATCAACGCGTGTGACTTAAGAGGCGATTTGGATAATCATCACCAACGCAGGAAGTTGCTTAGTGCTTGATTCAATTGAAAAGTAGGTGTGATTTTTTTTGCTTGAGTAGCGGAGATGTTTGACTAATTGGGTTGTGGGCAATAATCTAATCTCTATCGACTCTGAAGAACGTGAATTCGCCGAAGCTGTTAGAATCAATCATGTATGTTTGGCTTAAGAAGAGATAACAAGGAGTTATTGAAGAATTCCGAGGTTAACATATAGTCGGTTTTGGGTATTATCACTAAGCACAGTGTTTAAAATTGCCGTTTTACAAGCTATCGAGTGATTTCCAAAAGTATGGTGGGAATGCCTTTACCAATTGTGTGTCATAAATGATACACTCTGCTGCGAAAGAGCTAAACATATATATCTGACCTTCACAGTGATGTATGAGAGCACAATTATCTATCAGGTCAATGTGTTTATCTTTCTATCTAAGCCCGGCATTGATTTCTTATCGTGAAGAGATGGGGTATCAATCAACCGGAGCCAAAAACGAACCAAGGATTGTATAATGATGAGTTTTTGTTGAAAAAGTTTTTTATATATGTTTAAGAGAATTGAGTGGAGAACAAAAATACGACCTCAGACGGGGGTCGAACCCGCGTTTCATCCATACAGGGTACGAGTGCCACCATTACGTCACAGAGGTTCATTGGCTCCACCATTTTTCATACTCAACATTTTCAACAAAGTTTTTTTTATCTTTCTCATGGCGCGCTGCAAAATGATAACTATTTGTTATGACATATTTACTATTTGTTATGACTACGGGATGTTTTGAACTTATGAATTTTTTGACTTTGCTTTGAGAAGGGCCCCGGAGTTTCAGTGATTCGATCCCTTTTCATAACTATACAGTAGCATTGAAGTCGATCAGAGAAATCCGCAAGCTAATGAAAATATTCTCACTATCAAAAACTATGAAAATTATTTTACTATCAGAATCGCATATAATGCAGCTGTTACACATCCCTGCAACAATAGACGCATGAAATTCTTTTTATTCAGCCGCTTCTAGCGATGGTATGATGATCCAAATGTATACCCATTGATGTAGAGTGATGTGCAAAACTTTCGCGTCGGGCGAGACTAGAACCCACACTTCACTCTTTTCGGGAGCGTGTGCTCCATCCGTTACACTACTGACGCCCATTTGGTGCATCGCTCTTTCTATGCTAAGTTTTGCACATCACTCTACATCAATGAATACACACGTGGTCGTTGGTTGTCTCACAAAACCCTCCACTACTCCGAACTAGGCAAACTACTACCACATTTATACTGTTAGAAGGCAGTGAAAATAATGAAATGGGTCAGTGGTACGACACGTTCTCGTATGGTTGAGACGCAGATTCAACTCGCTCCTGACGTTAGGCTTTTGTGTACCACTTCATACTCTTGCATGATCTTTATAACCTCATACCACTGCTAGTTCAATGAAAGTAGAGAAAATAGAAAACTAAACTTGTTTTCAAAAGATAGCATGCATTTACGTTGTACATCGGTAGCCATCGCACGTCATCGCAGTGTAGACCAAATATATGCCCATTCGCCTTCGGGAATGCTTATTGAATGGAATGCGTGAGACATGATTTTTAGTTATATCAACCCATGATTGAGCTCTTTGGAGACAGCCCCTTTTTACCTCTTTTCAATTATAGCAACATGAATGTGATCAAGTAAATCAGACTTGGCACGCATTCTTTGCTCGGCTAGGATATATGTACGTGATTTCACAGCATTAGCAGCAAACAACAAGGAATAAGCGCTGCAAGAGCGAAATGACGTAGGGCATTCCTAGACTTGGACTTCGATTTTGCAGTGGGTTTATTTGGTAGTATAAATTAAAAGTAAAGGCCTATACCCATAAAACGATGAACAAATTTCTTCTATTGTCCTCGCACAAAAAGTCTTAAATTTTCCGCAAAACGGAGGAGAAGGTCTAGTTGGATAACGAAAACAGCGCCCGTTTCGAGGCGGCTTTGAAATCGCCACTCGTACGTGGATCTGAGAGACGCGCGACGATGCGCGCAATAAGTGAAATGTAATCTTCTTCTGGCTATTGCAGCGCATCAGCACGGCCTTTTTAGAAAACGAAGCTCATTTTCGAAAATATCAAAATCTGAGCTATTGAGTGATTACTGAAAGCTTAGGACAAAGTGTTTATCTAGTAAAAAACGCTCTTGAGAGCACCGAGTGCCAATCGCTATTTTATTTCGATTGTTACAACGTACTAAAAAGATGATTTCAGGAAACAGGAAAAGTATTGGAACAGCCGGCTTTTGAATGAATACTGAAAGTCTATAAAGCTGCAAAGGCCTTGTCTACAAATGTCTGATGAATGGATTGAGTTAACGGAAAAGCACCAAACGATATCACATTACCTTCATCACTTAGATGCTGAACAAAGCGGCTCAACCTTTCAAGATTATTACGGGGCATTACAGCCAAGTTTGAACTCATTGCGTAAAACGGCACTGTTCTTGCCTTGAGCACACTATCTCACCTAGTTTAGAAGCATTATAAATAAACTGCGAATGTTCAACTTTTCCTCAGTGCCCATCTTTTCCCATAGTAGGGTGCAATGTGAAAAACAACCGCAAAAATGCCGAGATTGAGCGATACTCGGAGTCTGAAGTGGCAGGGCCCACATGTTGCCCACTGTACTATCGAGGCTCATGCAATGCCTACTCCTCCGTCTTGTTTTGACCACTTTATCAAGCCGATAATCACAGGAGATGTGCCATGGTCTACTGCGAGAGCAACATGCCCGTCTAGTGGCTGCCTATTGGTTAAGACAAGCTAATCTAAAGCTTAAGTTTCATTTTCAGAAGAATATGCTGTCGATTTCTGTTATTTTCAGAGGATAATTGTTTGGACTGTTTAGGGAGCTGCTCGAGAACAAGCAAAAAATCACTGCCGATGTCTGCGGAACTTTACTGGTGAGGTTGGCCGCAGCAGTGCGAGTGAAGAGTTTGGAACGGCATAGTGTCGCCCTTCTCCAGGATAGCGCTCCATCTCACTTGCAAAGTCTCTGGACCACGGTGCCATATCGACCGTATTGCCTTAGTGTTAATAGGTTAGGGAAGAAGCCCTGAGAAAATGCTTGTAACTTTTTCGAGTGTCGGCCATTTCATGTGTTTTTGAAGTTATCTAGAAGCCCGTCTTCTGCCGCGTTGATTGGTATCTAATTTATCTACTTATTTCAGAATGGAGTTAACAAGAGAGCAAATTAGGTTGTTAACGATGCGCGATTAGCTCTTGGGTTCAAATGAAGATGAACATCTTCACCATCTTCACCCTCACCGCGTATAACATTTATTTATGCGCCTATTGCACCCGAACAATGACAAAACTAATATAACGAATAGTGTAGAGTGGTTTGCAAAAACATTTGCACCAGCTGGGATTCGAACACAGATCTCACTCCTTCCAGGAGCGTGTGCTGCTCACATCATAACACCGCAAGTGGTGGTCAAGTAAAAAGAATTCTCATTGATTATTGATACACAATATCTGTCAACATCTTCCATGCCCACGCCCGACCGTTAACGGCTGGCTGTTGACAGATAACGCCTTGTAGTGTAGAAGTAGCGGCGTGCGAAACGAGCTTTGGTGGTGTAACGGTTCAGCACACGCTCTCGGAAAGAGTGACATCTGGGTTCGAATCTCGGTTGACGCAAATGTTTTTGCACGCCACTCTACACTTTTGAGCATATTGCAACATCATGACCGCAAGTGGTGGTCAAATAAAAAGAATTCCGAAGATTATCAAATTCGCTAAATTTTGTAGAGCTTCAGAAGAGTAGGCGAAACAATTTGTTTTTCCTACCTACTGTTATTCAGTGGAAAACTTTTCATACTAGCATTATTTCACTCAGTATAATTGAACAACAGTCATTTATTTGAAATGAAATTATTTGGTGAAATATTTGATGAACCGTATATGTTGAGTCAAAATCAAGATTCTAAAAATTCAGATCTACAACAGAACGACAGAAAAAGTACATATACATGAGAATAACGTAATTCACGATGAATATTCTACTTAATAGCGAGTATCCTATCGTCTTCGTTACCAAACTGCACATCGCTCCGTTGGATTCATTGGTGTGCCCACAGAACAATTGAATGTGGCAGCGAATTCTGGTTGATTAGCCAGTACTACATTTACACTGAAGAACGGTAGTTATAGCGTTATTCTATAGTAGATAGAAGCAAAAATACCTAGAGACTGAAAGAGCGTACGCTTTAACATTCTATGTTTCTAATTTTTAAGGTGTAGTCTGACTTCGCTCTAAGACTCAGTCGGCTTGTCAAAGTGACAAGGGAAAACAGCGCAGTTAGGTTGCAATAAGCAGGTCAAAGTACGGTCATTCTTTACACTTTGAAATAAAGCAGATGAAAGATATACCGATATCTCTGAGGAGCATGAGGATCGGTGAGAATATGATTTATTAGTGAATCCGTCGTATCGTGTCCACACCAAGCCTGCAAAAACTTTATTAAGAATACTTCTTCGTTGCTTAGTCTATGAATGGAAAATGGAGGCACTGAAAAGTATTTTAGGAAACTTAGTGTCATGTGCGATATTTTATCCTTCTTATGAATTTCGTGAACTAGACGATTAATAATATGATTGATAGTTGTTTACGCTTGCTGCTTTAGATAGTATTGATCTCGAGTCAAAATTGCATCTTACCGAACAACGATGTAGTTAAGTATATCTTATCAACGCAAATTATTGTTGGACGCTTGAGAGCTTCCGCGACTTCACTCAAACCGTCGCACTGTATTTTTGTTGTGAAGTCGTCTTCAAAAAAAAAAAAACCACTGTAATTATCATGTCTCGGACATAAGATTTCTTCCAACGTCGACGTAGCGTCCTCATCATCTGGATTTCACGAATTTTGTGACGAACATCTTAGCAGTTGAATGCTACTATTACTGTAAAATCTTAATCTTAATCTTTTTGTTAATGTTTTCTTTCAACTGAATCTAACGAAAACAATGTTCATGAGGAACGGATGGGTTTCCAATGCCCCATTCACGCTCAACGGAACGACAATTTCCGAATGCTCCAGTTACATCTATCTAGGTCGTGAAATCAACATGATGAACGACCTAGCCCCAGAGTTGAGCAGGAGGAAACGAGCGGCTTGGGGAACGTTTAAGAGCATCGAAGATGTAGTGAAGAGGACAAAGAACATCCGACTCCGTGCCCACCTTTTCGACTCGACAATTATCCCTGCCCTAACGTATGCAGCAGAAACCTGGTCGCTACGTAAGCAGGATGAAAGATCACTTGCCGTTATCGAACGCGCAGTCGAAAGGTCGATGCTGTTATTATCTCGTATTTCGCAAATGAGACAAAGGATCCGAACTTCCGACCTACGTCAACGATCGAAAATCAGAGACGCCGTTTCTACACGCCAGGATATCGAAAATAAGGTGGGGCCGGACACGTGATGCGCTTCAACGATAACCGATGGACGAGAGCCGTTACCGACTGGATTCCTCGGGACGTCAAGCGCTCTAAAGGAAGACCACTGACCCGTTGGTCCGATTTCTTCACGAAAGCGATGGAAGAAAGATATGATGCTCAGCGAATTCCTAGAGCAAGGAGGACCCACTGGGCTACTCTTGCACGCGATAGGGAAAAATGGAAGAGTTGCTGGTACCCGCTCGAGTCACTCGACGATCAACGGGACGACAGGTGATACAGGTGATCTTAGCAGTAATTTGGTATATGAAAATTCCTTCAGCATGTGGTAATTGAATACTCGAGAAAGCATCAAATACTTGCTGAAAGCGCTCATGAGCTTGCTGTTAGAGATGGCACAAGGTGTACCAGTTCTCTCGATAGTATTCCGACAGGTGATGTGACCTTGTCGCCCACCAAAATTGCTCCCCTGGATGATGTCACATCTAGTGCAGTTGGTGCATTTTGAAGTATTTCTGAAGCTATATAACACCTTTCTGGAGGCCGCAGTAGTATCGGCACGATTTATAAATTTTCATGGTGGATGACTTCATAATCCAGTGCTTAAATTTTTACATTTTCACCTTCTTTCGATACCCTTCTTGTCGTGAGGTGGAGCTCTGCACTATATCATAGCTCGTAAAGAAAGCTAACGAATAGTTGAGGCATGTATAACGCAAGAATAGTTAGACAAATCAAAGCAGTCAATAAACAGAGGAGAACTAAGAAAACACATAAAATTACCGTAGCGAAGCCAATGAAGAACATTTGCTCATTATTGTATTCTTCTAATCCTTTTATGCGTTCTTCTGCTCCATATTTTCTCAGATATTTTTTGTATGCCTGAAAATACTTTTACCTATTGACGATTGTGTATGTATAGAGTTTGCACATTCGTAGAAATTGAACACTGTCTTAGCACTCTTGCTATTTTTCCTTCCAAATATTGCATTCCAAAACGCTTTTTATTGGAAGAAAATTCATCAAAATTGAACAGTAAGGCTCAATACTCAATTTGAAAGTATGATGTCACCTTGAATGCCTGCTTTACTCCTCCATTATCTGCGATATTTTCTCCTTGTGTTAGCTTTCCGTTTATGTTTAAGCCAGTTCCAGGCACCTACAATGAATTCTTTGAATATTTGCTGTTCCCGTACCCTAGTTTATCATGCACAGATCATAAATGCTCATGCTTTAGGTTTGCTAATTTCGCATACAGCACACTTTCAGCTACGCTAAAGACCGTTTCGGGCACACCTCTATCCTACCATACTGGTCGATAAAACACTGCGCACGCTTTTCGAACTGGTTCTTCATTTCGCTACTCCACCAATCTCGTAGATTTCCAAACAGCATCAAATTGACGCCCTATAACTCAAATTATACGACCATATTTTCTAATGTTCACCACATTTTCAGTGAAATGTCGAGAATTTGTCAGTTTTTTCTGCAACACTTCAACATTTTCATAAAGGTTAGAAATATAAGCTGGACGCAATCCAGCATTCACTGAACATGCTTGGTACATCCATCGTATAAAACTTAGACAAAGTGTTTGAAGTGAGAAAGGAAGAAGGAAAACTTAAATAATCTGGAAAATTCAGAGGCTGGTTTGAGGTTTTGTTAGCCGGCGGCACACGTATGTTTCGCCAATCTCACTCGCCTCGTCGGTACCACACGCCCCATTAGTCACCCTACGTAGTAGGAAAGGGAGTGAGATCTTGGCCGGATTTTTTTTATAGTCGATGGCATAGGGCTGCCATTTATGATGGAGTCATTGTCCTTTATTTCGACTGTTTTTTGAGAATTTCGTTTTTAGAACTCTGGTATACTAAAAAGGCCGATTTACTCATCTAGATTTACGTTTAGCCGGCTAAAATGCCAAAAACGAGGTTCTGAAAGACAGTCGGACCAAAGGACAAATTTGCAAAATGACGAGTCATTATCTGGGATAAATGATCGTTCGCGACGTGCGAAAGCTAATAAAACTCCTCATAGACAAGGTTTACTCTCATATTAAGATGATAACGCAATGCTTCACCTGCTCCGCATATGAAGAGAAAGGTACTCTGATTTACAGAGTAAACTATAGCAATTCGGATGGAAGTACCTTTATCATCGAATCCGTGAGTGATCTCATGTCCAATTATCGTTCCTATCCCTCCGAAGTTAAGTGCTCTGAAAAGTGTTCTGCAAAATGAACTTCGCCTTCTTATGAGCTGAAGCACATAAATTTTCCCTTTACGGGACAATGAGGTCAACATGACCCTCACCTGGACGCGCCGCTCGAACGGGCTACGAAGAGTGGTTCGTGCTTCAATACAAATTCGGGTTGATAGAACTCTCAAAGGGGTATTTTCATCAAAAAACGGGATAATATCACTCATAAGACTCCTGTATGAATGATTTTGGTAAGATTAACGCTAATGCTGCGCAAAATCTTTGCTTTTCAAAAGAAAAAACTATATGCTTGAGAAAAGAATCAAAAGGATTATATTCCAGCTGTTGTTGGGCATTTTTTCATATCTTTTTGGTGTTTTTTGTAGTCAATAGATAGCTTGAGAAATTCTGACTCGAACACTAAGCTTGTAGTTTGAAAATAATCCCACAGTACGTTTTGAATGAAAAATAAAAGACGACCTCTTGCAATCGCAATCCATTTTTTCTAATTGAAAACAGATTCTTTGGATTATATAGTCATAATTCGATTCTCAAAGACTTTGTTTGCCGAAAAGAAAATTTGAAATATCATTGGTAGAACTTTTGTAAACGTATTTACAAGAAGAATAACGCTCAACTGTCTTGAAAATCCGTACTTTGAATACGATTTCTGTTACACGCACTCGCATTTAAAGAACTGCGATCGTGAGGCTTTGATTCATGATCTGGAAAAGACTTATTCTATTAGACTACTAATATTCATTCGATAACTGAAATCAAGTGAACTTCAGTGGTTAAGTTTATTTCTGAAATGGCTTGTTTTTTTGGGGCTGTAACAGTCGAAATAGTATTTTGTTTCACATCTAATGATTTATTGCCGGATAAAGTTTCTTCTACGAACAATTACCGACCATTCAATAGAACAAATCTTAGCAATTTCAAGGACGTAGTTTATTTTTATAAAGGATTCCTTAGTGAACAGTGGTAGTCAGAAGAAGATTCGGTTGCGCACTCCAAAATGTGGGATTGCGTGAATTGGC